CTTTTTAACTGAAATGTGAGCTCCAGTGCTTGCAAAAGTTATACACAATACAATACAATCCTTGTCCTTCAACTCTGAGTGTCCCACGATAAGCTCTGGTTTATGAATAGGTTATAGGATAGATATTGAAAATGGAAATCGACAGGGAATGTTTATGTGGGCTTGGCGACAACTTTAGAAAACAGCAGTTTCAGTGAAAGGCGATCGCGTGATGAAATTTCACCTGGCTAACAGTTCAATTATATTTCTGCAATTGATAAACGCCTACTAACACTTTGTAAGTAGTATAAAAAAATAATCAAACAGATTAGCAGTGGTTGTCGAGATATCGCAAAACTCCATCACAGCGAAAACCCGACCAATCGATCAGGGTCGTTTAAAAAAAGGCCAGGTTTAAATTAAATTTAAATCACGACTGGTGATGCATGTCAGAGGTGAAGACACGGAGATCCGTCAAAGGAATTCAGCAGTCAAACTGCTGTTGAACACTGAGCGATAGTCTACGCGACAATCAGGAATTTGATCATTACGGAACGAAGTAACACGGGGGAGGGGAGTGGAAAAATCGTCAGTTAGATCTAATTTAATTCATAATTCGGATCTAGAATAAAGTAAATTTGCTGACAGATCAGGATCTCTCGAGTATAGTATTTTAATAAATTCTGTAGGCATAAAGCCTACATTTCAGTTAAAAATATACAGGTTGTAGCGAGGGCGAAAATAAGAAATAATAAAAAAAAGATTTAAATCCCCAAACTGTTAAGAAAGTCTGTGAAAACCTGTTTTTTGTTAACTAGAATACGTGCTAATGAAGTTACTGTAGAGTTACGATGTATATTCATTCGAGAGGGATCTAGTTGAAGGATGGGAACAACGGGAAAATAGATCGGCGTGTAGCGGATGTGTGGGGTCGATAAGAATCTTATGTACAAACTTTTCACATGCATTCAAATGACGTTCGCACAAGTTAGTTACCAACTCCTTCAGCGGGATCGAAGAGACACGACTAATGATGATCAGTCTACGTCGAAGCAGTTTAAAATCTTTCTTTAGTAGATTGGAAAAAAATAACACGGGAACAATAAAGCAAAACGGGGAAAATACACTGATACACGAATTTGGAAACAATTGCTTGTTGGATACGAAACTGACGAAGTTCATGGATATGAAAGGAAATTCGTCGAAGCTTATTGACTATGTGTTAACTGTGAGAGGTTCAGTGAAGGTTAATACCAATAAAGGCCCACAGGTATTTGATACAGTCCAACCGAGATACTGGTTTAGAGCCAATCGATACCGGTTCAGGTGGGAAAAAAGGGCGTGATAATGTAAAGAGACAATCGAAACATTTGGAGGGATTAAGAGATGTGGCAGAAAACCGTTGAACGTCATCCAAGTTATCAGAAAATTGCGAAAGATCAGAAGAGTCGGAGATGGCCTGAAACAAAACCACATCGTCAGCGTATGTGAAGAGAGAAGTAGCAGTGCTAGCAGACAGGTCACTAATATACGTAGAAAATAAGTAAGTAAGAACTGCACCTTGAAGTACCCCAGCATCGTTCAACAATGATTTGGATTTCTTCCGACCTAACCTGGTACATTGAGTTCCGCCGGAGAAGTAATCGGCAAGCCAAGCTAATAACTGTCCAGGACAACCAAGGGTCTCCAGTTTACGAAGAAGGGAACGAGGAATAGAATCAAAAGCAGATGAGTAGTCCAGAAACACAGAACGAACAGATTTCGCGGAGATTTAGCAATTTTATGTAACAGTGAGGAAACTGCATCTGTTTGGCTTATAGGCAAACTTAACACGGCTTCATGAACCAAATGAATTCAAATAAAATCCATGCAAATTACGAATCATCCAAGAAGATGAAATTGAAGGTTGTGAAGTCAAAGGAAGGCATGATAACCGGCTGTGTAGATCAGGGCTAACAGTTTTGACTTTCAGCCCAAAGGTTCAGGGTTCGAGTCCCGCTGGAGACACAAACATAGTACGCACTACTGGTGGCTAACCGGGAGGAAACGGCTATCCAATGCTCTTTTTTGGTCATCACAAACAAAATTTCATTGAATCTGAAAAGTTGGAAAAACGTTCGATACATACATGGTTTGGTAACTTGAGATATGGTATCGACGGGAAACCCGGATACCCACGAATGGTCGTGTGTGCTGTTGCGGCCCAGATGATCCTACTACCAAGTGGTCCAACAGTGGTATCTACTCTGCTGTATCTTACAGAACAACCGGATAGGTGCCGTTGAGGAAAGTGGCCATTTTGACCAAAATATTTTTCCCAAACTGTGTAAGTTATTTCTAGGGAACTCACAAGTCGTTCTTTTTCCTGAATTTTCCTAAGTTTATTCCCCATAGATTTAGTTTGTATGGGCTAAACAGTACTTGACCTACAGACACCAACGATGTTTACACCCCGGTTGAAGCCAAGTGGCCATTAGGACCACTTCCGAACTTGACCGATTTTGTCGGCGTTGTTTGCCGGGACCGATCGCTACATTTGACATGACCGGCNATGACCGGCGCTGATCAACATCAGTACTACCGTGATGAGTGGAGACCTAAGTGGCTGAACAAGCGCATCACATGATGTTATAAATAACGTAGCTTACGCAGTAAAAGCCCATCGCTGGAATTGCACTTAGTAAAGGACTCGGTTGATCCCGGTGGTAGTTGCGAGCTTTGGTGACGAAACGAGACAATTCCGTCAGTACCCTAGCGACCGTAATCAAAAGTGCCTTAGTCCTGACAACAAATACTATTCAGAAAGTTCAGTTGACATGTTTGCCTTTTACTCGGATTTCGAACTTCACCCCATTATTCGTTTGAACTATCTTATACGTCTGTGATTGCACGAAATCAGTTCACGTTACAGGTGATTAAGGTGGCGGAAAGTGAGTTGGAAGGGGAAAATTTAATCCGGATAAAATAAATGTTCCTTGAGGTTGGCTTTGCAGTCGTCGACTCGTTGTGGATGGACTCAAACAAAGGCAATGCTACTACAAATTTACACACTTTATTATGAAAAGATTTAGGAATCTACGGTAGCGTACAATTCACGTAATGTACGTATTCCAGCGTTCTTTATGGTGAAATTTAGCTTTGATAAAATTATTGTTTTCCTTTCAAGATCAGTGCTATCGGCGTGGCCTCGTATTTCAGCTGGTATTGCGTTTACTCGTGGGTACGAATCCCTCCACTATTTTCTTCATCGAGGAGTCATTTTCAACCACAGTATGCCTCGAACACATATGTCTTTTGTGCACTTGGTGTTTCGTTCCAAAGCTAGCCAAGTGCTTCGGAACACTAGACGACACGAAACAGAGCTGCTGAGAAATGCGAGCGGTTAATCCCAAAAGGGGTCAAAATGACCGTTTAGACTTTCCAGGGACCTGGATATTCCGGCTCTTTCAGTGTTAAACAACCCGAGGAAGAGTTCATATTAGCTCATCTCGTTTTATTAATTAAATCAAGCGATAATTTTCACTTTTAAGGACACCATGATTTTACCAGAGCGCTTTTTTACACGACGTGGTTCAAATCTGAAAAACTAAGCACCTCCTTCCATGAGAAAATACCAATAGTTTCTTGGCCTGTGACGACATCCCCGGAAAGGTCACGCTGTCGAATGTGAGCAAAACAATGTAAGGCCAGGAGCGATTCTATTAGCGTAGGACGTTTATCAGCTGTACTTTTCATCCACGCACGGTGACCTTTGGCCGAACTAACCACGTGTAAGTTGCGTACGCGTACCCACAAGTAGGCACGAACAGATGAGTGCTCCTGTTCACGTGTGCATACCAGAAAAATAGGTAGGGGGTGTTACAAACAGGAGAGAGAGAGAGCAAGTAAGGGTGATTGTGATTCACAACCTAGTCCCATAAAGGAGATCCATTGGGACAGGTTAGTGTCCTAAGCCTAGAGAGGGACCTAATTCAGGTATAGAAATAATCGGTTGCTCTCCACCGTTTGTAATTCTGATTTGCTGAAGCAGAGAGAGAGAGAGCTGACATGCAGGAATGGAGTGAGTGAGTGACATCACAGGCCTACCTGAATGGTTAATCGATCTGACGGTTCCACTGTAAGCATCCCACAGACGAGATCCTTAGCATCTTTGCTTATCTCTTCCCAATAGGCCTCCGGGAAATCGTACAATCCTTGAACTATCTGCGTCTGTAGATCGTGATCCTGTCTTTCGTCCGTAAACGGTGGATACCCGACCAAGCTAGGGTAGAGAAAAAGAAGGAATTCAGAAAGCGGAGTACAACTCCCACTGGAATGTTTACTTGATTTCTGATAAACACGTGTTTTACACTTGCTTGGGTTCAGATAATATATAAAAAACCATGGTGCAATTTACTTTCACTTTTGTGCGACTATCATCCATGTGGATTTATTGGATATATTTCATTCTAAAAAGGCAGGAGCACCGTGAAATCCAGTTATTGCGGCACTTGCGCTCTCTAAGCAAGATAACCGGGTGGTCGCCATTGCCGTATCTTTCCCCAAGGCCGAAGATCCCCAAGGTGTTGCGTATGTTCGTCTATGGGGTCCGTGTGGGCTTTTCAGTTGCCTGCAACCAGAAGAATGCCACACCTGGTGCGTAGACTGCAACTGCAATTACACGCACGGGCTACGGCGATGTTTGATGAGATTGGTTCCCAAGGCATCAGAGAACTATATGATCGACTATGTGACTATCTTAGTGACAGAAATTAACACAAGACCTGTTTATGGGCAGATTACTGTCAGGTGGCTCAACAATTGATCCATAAACGGGGACAATGATTGGCCAGGAGATGATAAGGTGCAAAGAGCTGATGTCTAGTCAGTCGGATACTGAATCTTGTAGACGCGGTTAACACATGCAGAATGTCCGATTCGACCTATCGAGCGAGTGTTGGTTGCTAACAGAGTATCCTGGACCTGATTTTCCCTTTTTTCTTTGAAGGTGTGAAACGTGGGCTCTTCAGCTCCCTTGGGTGATTTGTCAGTCCACCACTCGTTAATCCCTACCATCGTCTTTTCGTTCCTTTGTTTTAGTAAAAAATACGTTTGCCATGGGAGGGCAATAACTTAAAATTCTCAAGCAATTATAATAAGATACCGCATGAGAGCATTTCTTATCACAAGAGCGAGGTCCCCTACATACTAAGAATACATAAGTGAGTATTATATCAGATATGTTGCGTCTGATGTGGGGCAATATCATATTCAATCCCGCGAATGTGGCTGGAAAAACAAAGCATTGAGAGGAACAAATGTGATGAAAATCAGGATGTTGCACGAGTTTGGTCAATACCTGTATATATATATATATTTCTTTGAGAATCGACATGGTACCAACGCAACACGAACGGAAACAAAAAAGGGTGATTTGTTCTCATGGTTCATCAAAACGATGTTCGTCAGTGCTTGCTTTCTTATCAAACATGTAGTAAATACAGTTACAGAAGCAGATATAATTGTGAGGAACCGTTTGACTGAAAACTGATAGGGTCATCTGTTCCAAACCATAGCACTCTTGTATTTATCTTTTTCACCTTATGGTTTTCGTTGTCGTACCATCTTGCACTATGCAATCTACTAATTCCCATGTAGTGTTGGATTAATGGCTGTGAAAGTGAGTTCAAATCAGTAAGAGGACTGAACAACAATAACAGAACAATTTGCACTTCAAACAGCAAGAGAGATTGGGACGTACCATACGTAGAGTATCACTCCCAAAGACCAAATATCAATGGCCGATGTATAAGTTCCTGATCCGGCAGTTTTCAGTACTTCGGGAGCTAAATAAGTCGGGGTACCACAAAAGGTGCGCAACATTGTGTTTCCATCGACTAGTTTTGAGAGGCCAAAATCTGTCACCTTGATTAAACAACGGTTGTCTGGTCCGGAAAGTAGGATATTCTCGGGCTGTTTGTAAAACAGAAATTAGTAAAAGCAGAAAAAAGTAACGCTGGCTCAAAGAAGTGAAAAACAACGCTATGCTCATTCAATTGCTTGTGAGACATAAGTGTACCGAGCTCGTTACAGTGGGACTTGACTAAGCAGTCAAATTTAACCAACAAACTGGTTAAGCGTACCGATTCCAAATTGGTGCTGACAACTTGTCAATACAGGCTCCAACAGTGGAATGAATTTACGAAGTAAAAACAGACATGAAAAATCAGTCCAATTCGCTAATACATTGGCCTGCTACGTTTGAAGTACATCAATACCCAGTTTGGATCTGTTGTTTTGCACAGCTTATATCCTTTGCCTACTATTAGGTCGCACAGCACTATATCCCAGGTGAATACCACAAGTGCAAAGAACACAAGATATGGTACAGTAACAATAGTAGCACACGGGAACAGCGGACTAGCACTAAGTCCATGAGCGGATGATAGTTCTAGGACCAGAAGCTACCTAGGCGAAACACAAGACGCACGGTCGGCTATTGGTCTCTCAGGCCTCCAAACACAAGAGAGAAGACACGACTTTAGCAGCACGGAATTTTAATGGCGTTGAGCACGAGTCACGAGTCAATTTACAAGTTTTGCTCTACTGCTTATATGTGACTGAAAATAGCACTGATCAATGCAAGAAAACGAATGTATCAATGAAATACACAGTGAGCAATGTTCAACCGGCCATAGGCTACGGATAAGACGGACGGAGAGAGCGAATATTGCCGTACGACGCAATATTATTGATTTATCTCCGCGAGAGTAGTATTGATCCGCGATGACTCTAATTTGGGTCGAATGTGTTGTAAAATTGTTTGATTTTATTCACAGAATTAGCAAGTGTGCAGTCAGGTTTATGGTAGGACGAATGGCATTGATCTTCGCACCAACAGGATCCTCAGGAACAGCCTGTGGCCATAATAATGAAAATTGGGCAACGGAACAGATTGGACTTAGAAACAGTTGGTGTTACTCTCAAGTGTCCTGGTATGGCCAGTCGAGGGCGAATTTCGGTGATCGGAGTTCAGCGTCTCGAGCTTCTTCCACCACTATCTTGAATGATCTACAAACACATACTTTGCTAAGAAAGTTCCACTTTGTCCTTTCATGGTGACGGTGCTTACACTGTGAGGGAGAAATCGGTCTACAAGACAAGTTACCGAAAACTAGTTATTGTAGGGAGTTCATAAGTTCTAATGTCGAACCGGCCAGGAGAGGTATAAATTAGCACCAGAACTACCAAACATACGTTCCTCAGCTCGATTAAGCAAATGAGGTGCAATGGGCACCCTGGAAGAGTCGTTTAGTCCCATTGGCGGATGCCCCAATTGAAGGGACACTGCCCTCTCTCTAATGTGACGCGGGCTCGAAGCTCTGCTCGATTGTGCTTTCGAAAGCTCTGGGTAAGGTCGACGTATTAAGAAGGCTCGTAACAATGTTTGTGATGGCTGGTGCAGATTATGTGGGCGAGTGAGTGTACAGTCAGCGAGTACATTGGTAGCAACAGAATAGTTGTCTGGCAACACGAAAATGTTTCAAGGTATCAAAATAGGTAAATCACGAAATGGTATAAAACTCACCTTTAGGTCTCTATGCGTGATCCCATTCTGGTGCAGGTACTGAGGGAAAAAATCAGAGGAAGAGAATATGGTAAACAATAATGGGCGGTAGATTCAACCACAAATATAAAGAGAATCTTGATTACTTGAAACGGCTTGAGAGATTAATCTTTTTATTCACTGTGAATAGTCGGTGTTTCCCTCACCAACGAAAGCTTTCAACGCATTTTGCACCTTTTTGATCCCATTCGGGCATCACTATTAAATGGTGTTGATACCGAAAACGAGCCCAGTCAGCTCAAGTTAGACTAAGAACTGTTCGTGCTCGGATTTGAAAACGTGGATATGAATGTGCATAGTTGATAAGTCCTAACATACGTGAAACTGTCAAGTGCTACACTGGTGAATGATACGCTGTCTGCATAGCGAATGCACCCTTATCAAAACGTCGTCCCATGCAAGAATGGATATTAAATTGCACAGAAAAGTTTATTCTGACGTTCCGTTCAGCTTGTACAACCATTAAGCATACAATTTCGTGTCCAGATTTTGGTTAATGTCTCTTGGCTTCCCGTTTGGATGGAGAAGAGAAAGGAAGTCTAAAGTAGAGTTGAAGAGAGAATGAGGAATTTCAGTAAACTGAGATTAGGAAGAAACTGAGATGCACGAGCGCCATTGTTTACGACAGAGCCATATCAGTTACTGTCTCTAACCGCCAGTCACAAGGTCTCCATTGAGGGAGCCTAACGCGACCTATATGAAGGGTAAAGGTTTTTATTCCACGTCTTAGTTTAACCATTTTTGTTTTTTTCCACCCACTACCTGCCTCAGCAAACAGCGCGGGCTGTGGCAATCCATTTAGTGATATGGAGGTTGACGACTTGATCCAGTGTGCGGCCGCGATTGCCTAAATTTGTGTCCAACCTCAGCATTGCCCCACCAAGTTCGTGCAATGCTGAGTACACAGCGGTGCTCGAACACAGACAATTATGAAGAGAATTGAGCAGTTAAACTGACACAGGTTACTTTGGCGACTCATCTGTCAAGATTGATGTATACGCAACAGTCAACAGGGGAGAGGATGAGGCTTCTGGGATAAGCGGTGGCGAGTTGAAACAAAGTGAACATTAGTTCAATGAGTAACTCTGTTAGGCAAAGGGGCATCAGTGAGAAAATTTCGATATACCAACCATAGACAGTGTTTTGTTGTTTCTATCGACCGATAAATAAGCAGTTTCGATATTCATAAACCGAAAACACGAAAACCGTGATTTCGTTTGGTATCCAACCACAAAAACTGCTGGATATGCATAAAAAGTGGAGAAAACGATACAAGTTATCACGAGTATAAAAACGTACGCGGCATGCGGCCGTCTCACTTAGTTTTTGAGCTACAAGCAGAGCCCGGCTCTTGGCCTTCCGTTGACAGCTTAGAATTCTTTCGCCTTAATTCGCGCTCCGGACATTACAGCTTTTGACAAGTTTCAGTTTCAGTTTTTACAACCATTAACCATGCACTTTCGTGCGCCGGTTTTGGTTGCTTTTGACAAGCATATGATGTACAAAACTTTTCTAGGGATACGCCCAGTCAACGTAGTCTGCGATGATTGTGAGCTTAGTTTGTTGTTCGGCCACGATTAACCGATGCTCTTCGACAAGGCTTAGTGTGGATGACTCGCAACTAAACATCAGATTTACAAAAAAACAAGTTATTTGCAATGATCATTTACGCTAATCAACATAAGGAAACCATAACGCAGCCAGAACAAGGATTTTCCAATATTTTTAACTTAGTAAGAAAATCGGTAAACGCAACGCAAAACTGTATCAACTATAAAAATCAATCTGTGGAGGGAGCTCCTGATGCAGAATGATAAGTATAACATTGCTGGTTAGCTTCAATCATGGGCTTGTCAGATCAGATATGGCAAGCGTCAGGAAGCGATATTTATTACAAAACAAACATTAAAGCGCACAAATTCGGTTGCTGGAAGTTTAGCGTCAGAAAAAACTGCGAACAGTTTTTTTATTACACACCTAAGTGTGATAAACAGCAAACGGAGCGAACCTCATAGTCACGAGGACCTGCTGCTCAGTGGTGGAAACCGGCAACCTAAGACCCGGGACTTGGAGTAGCGAACCACAGAAGGCCCGGTAG